GAGGCTCTGAGAGGTTCCCAGATCCCTTCTCAGAGGCCTCCAAGGGCTGTGGGGCAGGGCATACCCCATCCTTGTCACCCCCATATGGGGCATAACCTGTCAGGGGTCTCAAAGGCTCTTCCAAGTTCAGCCATTCCCTGATTCTCTCCCTGAGCTGCTCCTGGGGACACTGAGCTCCTCCCTGGGGGCTGTGGGGGCAGTTCTAGCCCAGAGCACCCCCAGCACTGTGCTTCTTCCCTGTGGGGGGTCTGGGGGGAGCTCCAGAATTCCCACCCCAACCTCCTCCTCCAGTTTGTCCTGAAAAACTATGGGGAGAACCCAGAGAACTACAATGAGGAGCTGCGAAAACTGGAGGTGCTCCGGCAGGTGAGGTGGGATCTGCCCAGCTGGGACCTCCTGGGGGGACCTGGGAGGGCTCTTGGGTGTCCCCCCAGCCCCTGGGCTGGAGCTATGCTGGGGCTGCTCCTCTCTCTCCACTGTATCTCATGGAGCTGCTCCCAGGATGATCCAAGTTCCATGAGCTGCCAGGGAAGAGGAGTGGGGACACCTCCAGGTGCTGTCCCTGGGGCCCCCATGTACCCACACCTAGAGGGCCCTTAGGAGGTGTGGGGGGGCTTGGACACACTTCCCAGCTGGGATTTATCCTGAAGTGGGAAGTTGGGAAACCTTCCAGTGCTCCTGCTATTCCCACCATAGCTCAGGACCCCCCAGATCCTCCCTGTTTCCCCAGTCTTGGAGCTGTGCTGGAAGCAGGGATCCTCTCTTGCTCTGGTCCCTGTGGATCCAGGATGTGGCTCCCTCCACCCTTGTTTTTATGGGAGCAAAACTTTCCCAAGCCACTCCGCAGGTGTTTTCCATGAGGTTTTGTTGTGCTGGATGCTCCATCCTCTCCCGCACAAGGGTTCCTACTCCTGCCTGGCACACGTCTCTCTCTTCCTCCTCCTCCTCCTCCTCCTGTTCCCATCCTTCTCTCACCTGTCGGTGTCCCGCAGAGTGCCGTCAGCGTTCCCAGGGATTTCGAGGGCTGCAGCACCCTACGGAAGTACCTGGGACAGCTACACTTCCTGCAGAGCCGCATTCCCATGGGAGCCGAGCAGGAGGCGGCCGTGCCCGTCACGTGGTGAGGGGCGGATCCCGTGGGAATTGACCTGGGATGGGGATGAGAGGGAGCTCCGGCCACGGGAGAGGGATAGCTCCCGTGGGAGAGTTGTCCTAGGATGGAGGGAGCACTGATCAGGATGAAGCCCGTGCCCATCACTTGGTGAGGGGCTTCTCCAGCCTGGGGTGGGGCAGATTCCATGGGAATTGTCCTGGGATATGGGATGGTGGGATGGTCCAGGGACCCCTTGGGGAATGGGATCCTGCCCAGGGTAGCACAGAGGGGTCCTGGGGACTCCTTGGGGAATGGGGTCCTGCCCTGGGGTGGCACAGGGATGGGCCAGGGACCCCTTGGGGGTCAGTGTGCTCCAGGAGGTCCTGGGGACCCCTCAGACTATGAGATTCCCAACAAATCCCCTCCCCACCAGTCACTCTGTCCCAGTAACCTCTTCCTCTCCCAGGACAGAGATCTTCTCGGGCAAGACAGTGACACATGAGGACATCAAGTATGAGCAGGCCTGTGTCCTCTACAACCTGGGTGAGGCCTGGCACCTCCTGCCACATCCCCACCAGGGAGCTCCTGGCCCCCCCTGCCACATCCCCCCCAGGGAGCTCCTGCCTCCCCCTTCCCCGTGGATTTGGGCCTCCGCACCCCATTCCAGGAGGTGCTGGGATGCCCTCACCCCACTGAGCCCCATCCTGTCCCCACAGGTGCTCTGCACTCCATGTTGGGAGCCATGGACAAGCGAGTGTCCGAGGAGGTAACGAGCCCTCAGAACCTCTCAGTGACAGCTCTGTCCCACAGGGTGGTGGCACCCGGACATGGCCAAGGGTCACCCTGTTGTGACACAGGGCAGTGCCTGTCCCTGTGCTGGCACTGCTGAGGCACCTCCAACCCTGGGGGCAGGTTTGGGGTCCCCCAAGGCCAGGGCACAAAGGGGCTGGAGCATGTCCTGGGAAGGGGATGGACAACTTCCAAGTTGAGGGAGCTGGGGGGCTCAGCCTGGAGAAAAGGAGTCTCAGGGAGAACCTTCTGCTTTCTACAGCTCCCTGACAGGAGGTGCAGCCAGGTGGGAGTCACACTTTGCTCCCAGGTGACAGGACAAGAGGGAACAGCCTCTAGAGGAGGTTTAGGTTAGATTTTAGGGAGTACTCCTTTCTGAAAAGGGCTGTCCAGCCCTGGCACAGGCTGCCCAGGGCAGGGGTAGAGTCACATCCCTGGAGGGATTTCACGTCCGTGTGGATGTAGCACTTGGGAGCATGGTTAGTGGTGGCCTTGGCAGTGCTGGGAGAGCAGGTGGACTGGGAAGTCTTTTGCAACCCAACCAATCCCAACCCTTTCCTGTTCCCTCAGGGAATGAAGGTTTCCTGCACACACTTCCAGTGTGCCGCCGGAGCCTTCACCTACCTGCGGGATCACTTCCCACACTCCTACAGTGTGGACATGAGCCACCAGATCCTCAGCCTCAACATCAACCTCATGCTGGTAGGAAATGGGGGCACTGGACATACTGGGACACCTTGAGGGGCAGGGAAGGGGATGTTGGCGTGAGGGAAGGGCTCCATGCCACTCCTAGGCTCTCCAGGCACCCTAGCGGGTGGTATTCCCTGCACCCCAGTAACCTCTTGGGAAAGGAGTTGGAGCTGGTGGGTCCTGCCAGGATGTCCCAAGGGTTGGGGACACTGAGCATTCCCCTCTTGTCCCTGGCAGGGTCAGGCACAGGAGTGTCTCCTGGAGAAATCCATGCTGGACAACAGGAAGAGCTTCCTCGTGGCCCGGATCAGTGCTCAGGTGAGCTCTGGTGCTGTGCTGAGCTCCAGGTGCTGCTCCATT